GGTTCTCTAATGTTACCATTAAAATTAAAGGCATGTTCATTTGTGACAAGAATATGTTCCTGGGTTGAGGGGGAGAGAAGACTATCTTCTTCCTCGTGTGCATCATGTGCATCTGATGGCTTCAGGACTTTCCTTCCTTTTAGCCAGAGGTTGATGTTTCTTGATGCTGAAGTTTGTTTTGCAATGGAGCTGATAGAAAGAAGATGTCAGACAAGATGTCATGACATCTTAACTGATGGCTGACTCTATGTTGTTGTGCTTAGTAGCTTCTGAAGACTAAGCTGATTTTTGTGTATTGCTGTGATATTTGGTTGTAATTTTTAATATATTTATTTTAGCCAAAATTTGTCAAAGGGGGAGATTCTAAGTTCCTTAGTTTTAAGGATTGGTAATAATTTTTGTAAAACAAATATAGCAGCAATATCTTAGATATGATGTATTAACTTGCTAACGGGAATAAGTTGAGCAAGAAGTCCTATCTTATGTCAGGACATGTTAAGTTGAAGAGTTTTAACATCTGGAATAACATGTCAGATAAGATGTCCCATGAAGGAGCATAAGACATCGCGCCTGAGTTGAAGTGAACAATTATATTCTGTTATGATTTAACTGATGAAAAATATTTTGGGAATATTTTTCAATCATATGTGGCTCTAATTTTAAGGTCAAGAAGAATCTAAATAGAATATTGAAGAATATACAGTTTCAAAATTTGGAGATAATTTAGGAAGATTTGATTGAAGACCTTGTTTGTATATGAAGTTATTGTTCATTGTTACAGTTGATATGTTGTATTTTAAAGGCCCAAATCCAGTTGGGTATATGTTATAAATAGAAGTGTTTATAACCTAGGAAAGGCACGAGTTCAAGATGTAGAAGTCTAGGGCTTTGTCTTTGTTCCGCTCTCTAGGAGAGGTGGTGTTAGTAAACCACTCGGGTTGTGAAATGGTCACTATGTTCTCACTCAGAAGTGTGAAGTAATGAGTTGATTATTGCTCTTGGAGGAAGTTTTAAGGCAAATCCAAGTTGTGGTATTAGTCAAGAGTCTTGTCTAGTGATTGTCACAGAAGTGTGTCTTCCTGTTTGTTCAGAATTGTGTTGATCCAATTGTTGTCTGTGATTGAAGAGGGATTGAGGAGGGTCTCATATCTAGGTGAGTCTTAGATATAAGTCTAGTAATGGTAGTGATTAAGTGATTAGGCCCTAAATCAGAGGTTTGTTGTAGGTTCTATGAATTGATTCTATTTTAGTGAACTTATCCCTAGCTTGGTATGCCCCAAGAGTAGGAAGGTTGTTCTGAACTGGGTTAACAATTTTGGTGTGTTGTTTATTCTTTTCAGTACTATTTTTATTGTTAATACCTTGCCTATTTGTTTATGTCGGATCAGATGTCCCAACGTGTCATAGGACATCTGAGTTCTGTCATATCAAAATTTCAATTTTCATTATATATTGGGGTTAATAGTCAGTTACCCCCTGCAATATATGCGAGTTTTGATTTACCCCCCCTTTAAAAAAAGTTTTTTTGATGCATCCCTTGAAATGTTAAATATCTAAGTTTTTTGCCCCTTAAGAGAAAATATTATCCCCTTTAAATTATTATTTTTATTTACTCCCCTAAGTTTTTTGCACAATCCATATGGAATTAAGATAATGATAAAATCAATCAACATAATAATATCTAAATTAATAGTTTAATATCAAACACAACAATTTCCTATTTCCAATGAAATTTAAACAAAAATATAGAACATTGCAATTTGTCAAACACTTGGTGTGCAACAAATTTTTTCAGAATTATCCTTTGAGTTGAGTTGATATTTAAAAGCACTTATAATCAAAAGTGATTATAAGCAAATCAATACCCAATTCAAAACAAAAACAGTGTCGGAAAATTCCTATGAGTCGATCGATTACTCAATTCTATTTGACAAATTGATATGTGAAAATTAAAGCAAGTAAAACGATAAAAGAAAAGAGACACAAGGATTTGTATGCACCGTTCCCCACTTTCGTCCTCGCGTATGGGTACGTATGCGTCCAATTTTCATGTAGAATTAGGATACTTTCTTACTTTTTAAAAAGTATGATTACAAGAGAAGTGTTCAAGATCAATCCTACAAACCCTAACTGTTCGTTGTTGATTTAACCCTTTCTCTTATTTTGATCTTCAACAAGATCAAGCACATAATAGATTGTCAGTTGACTATCTAGATCTTGCTACTCCTTTGTGCTCTTTATCTCCAAAGCTTTCACGTACCATCAATTGTACCTATTGCAACACAAGACTTAAATTTGATTCGTCGTTCTCGTGCTACTTCCTTTGTGTTATTTATCTCCAAATGGTCCTTTGCATTCTTTATCTCTAAAGGCTTTCACTAGGCCGCAATCCTCTCTTAATGTCTTAAACGAAAACCCCCAAATCAATCAATGATCTTGGAGGACAAACCCGCGGTTTTTATGGACGAAGACTCATGCAAATCTTAACCCAATATTCTCGGCTACACAAGAACCTAATTGAACGTTATCGAACCTCGTCTAAATGGCACCCCAACAAAAGATTATTACGATGATTTGTTAGTGTGTATGTATAGGTTGAAGGTTGAAGGTGAAGAGCAATTGCAGGAAATTTTTATGCTATCATCAAGTTAAAATGATGCATGAATGATGTATTTATAGTTGTGGGAGTTTAGGTGCAAAAGAGAGATTTTCAGAATTAAAAAGAATTGAAAATTTGACCTAAACAAGCAGTATGTGTCGACCTGAAAGTTGTATGTGTCGACACATACGTCAAGTTTCAACTGTATGTGTCGACCTGAAAGATGAATGTGTCGACCAAAACAAGTCAGTAGCTACAGGCTTTAAAACAACAATAAATGTGTCGACTTGAAATTCGTATGTGCCGACACATAAAATAAGTTTTTTGCAATTTCAGAAAAGCTTCAGTATGTGTAGACCTGTATGATGCATGTGTCGACCTAAGCCTTCCATAAGCTACATGCTTTAAAACTGAGTTGTATGTGCCGACCTGAAATGTGTATGTGTCGACACATGCAATGAAAATTTATGCAGAAACTTGTTTTTCAAGACTTAGATCAATTTCAAAGTAGTTTTTAATGGTTCATAAGATCCCTAATGCAAATGAGTTCCACAAGCCATAGAGATACCGTCCAATATACATAAATACTTACTTTTCCTAGTTTTGACATCATGCAAAATATCTAATGGTGAAGTTGTACTCACAAAATGACTTTAAAACACCAAAGATTATCCCAAGAATCATTACCAACAAAAACAATGTCATCGGAAAATTGAAGAATATCAAAGGAAGCAAGATCATTAAACCGAAAACCCTTGAAGTCTCCCACCAAAGACGCCCTGCTAACCATGCCCGCTAAACCTTCTGCAACTAACAAGAAAAGAAAGGACGAAAGGGGATCTCTTTGACGCAAGCCTCTAGACACCATAAAATCTTTAGTTGGGCTACCACAGTGATAGACATTGAGCTATTGAAAATAAGAGCTTCCATCAAACTTCTCCATTTATCACCAAAACCCATTCTTCTCAACAAATATCTAAGGTAATCATAAGGCACACAATCATAAGCCTTCTCGAAACCCACTTTCACCATCATACAACTCTTCTTAAATCTCTTTGCATAATCCAACACTTCGTTCACAACCAACACCCCATTCAAGATATTTCTATTAGGAATAAAAGCAGATTGACAATTAGAAAAACTAACTTACCAACCACCATCTTTAATCTAGAAGCAAACAACTTGGCCAAAATCCTATACATACTTCTGATTAAGTAAATCAAATTATAATCATTCAACAACTAGGAATATCAACTTTGGAATCAAAGTAAAAAACGAAGCCATCACCACTTTAGGCAAAGTTGAAAAAGAATGAAATTCATTAACAAACTCAAGAAGCTTCGATTTCAAAAAAGGCCAACAAACCTTATAAAAAATCAAGTTAAAATCATCAGGACCCGAACTCTTGTCACCATCATAATTACAAATAGCATCACGAACCTCCTCTTCGGAAAAGAGAACTTCAAAGAAAAGACCATTCTCCCTCAAAAGAGTATTAAAAAAAATCACGTCCAATCGAGGTCTCAAAAACTCTGATTCTGAAACTCATGTAAACTAATATTATTATTAGTTTAAATATAATCTCAAATAAATTACTAATAAATATATAATTTAGCAAAAATTCGTAAACAACTCGTAATAAAACAAACTTGACAAATGACATCGACCAATATGCTTGAGGCGGGGGATTTGAACCCCACCTATTCCAAAATTTTATTTTATTTTTTTAAATTATAATTAATTATTTTTTAAATTTTCTATAAAACATTAAAAAAAATTTTAAAAAAATCATTCTATCAACAAAAAATATTAGAATTTTATTTCGATTTTTTACTTTTTTTAAAATAATAATCATTTATATTAAAAAATTAATTTTTTATTTTAAATATGTTGCATGAAATAATCATGTGATGTGAAGATGTTGGTATTTAGCCAAAATTAATAAGTAGGTAGTATTTATATCAGCTTAATAAACACCATAAGCCGATTTACATATTTACAACACATCCCTCATAATTAATTGGTGGCACTTAGCCTAGGTGAGGGGTGAATTTTTTCCCATCAAAGTTTCTGATTTTCCAATAATTTGACTACTACTTGCTACTTTTGAATAAAAAGCTAAAACCCATAAAGCAGATCTTAAAATTGAGCAGTAACAAACACACAAAATACAACTCACATCACATGCTGTATCTACCCTTTACTTTTTCCATACAGTCCCAAATCTCAACGTCTCTCTAATTTTCCTCTTAATCTATCCGTTAATCGCACCTCACATTTTCTTCCTTTTCAGACCCCCTCTTTCTTTCTCTACACACTGTCTCTATATCATTGAGCTTAGTACTTCATATTAGTACATACAGCTTGCAGGCATCATAACATTAACAACCAAACCAACCATATGGCCACTAAACTGCCTCTACACTTTTTCCTCCTTTTCTTATTTCTCACATCAGGTAATCTATCTATGTCTCAATTTTTCTAATGTTGCACCGACATTTCTAAAAAATAACATGTTGATGTCGTTGTGAATAATTTTTATTTTTATTATTTTTTAAAATGTTTGTCTGTGTTTCATAGATTTCTCTCCCTCCTACATGTTTTCTTTTGCTTTTTAATTTCTCTCAATTATTTCACTTGTTGAGTATTTAATGTGCAGGATGGAATGTGATCATGATTAATGGACAGAAAACATGGTGTGTGGCAAAGCCTTCATCAGATCAAGCAACACTTTTATCAAACCTCAATTATGCTTGCTCTCAAGTTGATTGTAGCGTTCTTCGTAGAGGATGTCCCTGCGCTACCCCTGACAATCTCATCAACCATGCTTCCATAGCCATGAATCTCTATTATCAGTCTAGGGGGAAAAATCACTGGAATTGTGATTTCAGAGCATCTGGTTTAGTTGTTGTCACTGATCCAAGTAAATCACTTAACTCATTAACGTGATGTTTGAGGTTTTGAATTAATTGCTAAATTAAAAATATATATCTGATTCTGAATTTTGCAGGTTATGGTGATTGCATTTATGCATAGAAGTGATGGACTAGTTACTAGTGAAAATGTGAAATCTATATACATATAATAGTATATTATGCTTTTTTTTCAATCCAAAATATGGTGATGCATTTGGTTTCTGTTGCTGTAATCTTTCGGTATATTGGCATTTTCAACCTTATGGATAATGGCATATGCAATATTACATTAAATTAAATTTTCCCTTTCTTAACCAATTAAATCAATCTTATGGATATGTGTGTATTTATTGTGTAACTTGTATGCATTAGCAACATTGTGGTTCGGTGGTAAAGTCCTCTTTCTAATGTAGAAGAAAATTCATTTGAGCATAATAAATATTCAGTAACTTTGTAGATTTAGTCTCTCGTAATACACTCTCATAATACACACAGTGATTGCATTTTTTTAAATCTTTATTTATGGGAGACAGGTATTCTGGTTCATTAAATTAGACTCATGTAAGTTAAGGCTATAATTACTTTATGTACAATATTTCCACTAAATGAGATGTTTTTTTTAAATAATTAAACCGTGACAAACTCTTATATTTAAAGTAGATAATACATCATAGTCGTAATGATGTGAATTTTAAATTGATCGAAACATTGACACTAGAAGGAGGGGGTTGGACCCACATGCTTGCACCACGCCCCTTAGCCTCGGTTGCGGGGCCAATTATTTTGGTACACCAAAATAGTCTTACATTGCTTGTGATCGACTAGAACGTGGGTCATCCATTTGAACAAAACCATGACGATGTTTTCACATCCAAAGCGGACAATGCCTCGTAGCTGTAGTGACACAAACATGAGGTCTATCGAAATAGGACTTGACCAAACGATCCAAAAATACAGCTTAAATTTTCATGAAATCCACGTCGAACTCCTTTAATCTCCCGTGTTGCACGGACACAACTGTTCATGTTAATCAATTGGATCGCCACAAATTTTCTCAACTAACAATGGTAGCTTTCAAATCATCTCGATTGATCGCTCATTACAACAACACTCTTACAAATAACACCAACGCACCAAGATCCTTTAAGATTCTCCAGTTCTAGAATCTTTGACTACCTCGTCTCCCTAGATTGTTATCCATACACCGATCAACCATGAAACTTTTCAAGTCCTTTTGTCGTTTCAAAATTTTCAGTAGTTGCTTCAAGGCCAAACATTGAAACAACCTCCAATGTGAACACAAGCAATTGAATCATAAATATTCTAGAATCTTTAACAACTATAAGCAACACTCAGGATGCATGGAGAAAACAAAATCATAACAAGCATCTACAATCTAGTGCAACAATATAACACACTCATTTTGAATGAAAAACTCATAATATAAATGTAATTCAACAAAAGGCAATGTCTCAAGCAACTATGAAACTAGAAGTATTACAAAACATCAAGCTTAGGGTCATGGCCAATGCAATTCACAGTGGCGTTGTGTCACATCGTCGCCCTAGCAGATCCTTGGCACAATAATCTCAAAAGAAGAATAAGCAAGATTCCAGGCACCAAGCCCTTTTTTCACTATTGAAAGAACTGGTTCACAAAACACATAAATCCCTTAAAAAACTGTAAAAGATAGACAATTATGATGGGATCATAGGTTCAAATGAGTACATAGAGCACACTAACACCACACTCGACTACCACCATGTCAAGAGTTCAGTAAAATATAATTTTTTGTGTTAACTCTCAAAGGAGCCTATATGATATGGTTCAAAACCCAACAGGGGACTCTATCAATTCCTTGAGAAAGTTGTGTAATAAATTCACCATGCAATTTATGACACAACTCACATCGCGGAAAAGAAAACAAAAAACAATAGTCGTCCTGAGTGGAATTCACCAAAAGAAGAAGAGATCCCTCAGAATTATAAAGACTTGATCACAAAAATGGAAGTGGAAGTAATAGGATGCATCGACGGGCTAAAGTGAGGGATCTTTTAGAAACAATTGAGCATATACTACATGTTATTTGAAAAATAGGGTTATATGGCGTGGGGAGAATGAGTGATCTTATGACTCGAGCCTGGCCTTATATCAACTGTGATGTAGAAAAAATATAGGATCTGAAAACCCAACTAGTGGTCGGCCCGAAGATAACTCACACTAAGATAACAGGGACCAAAGATGCACTTCAAAGACCATTGGCCAAATTCTTATCTTATACCCCACTCAACACCTTAAGATAAAAGATTTTACAAGAGTGTTTCAACACTGAATTTAAAGAGGTTGTGGTGAGGTGCTCTTATCCAGTTAAAGAATCCACAAGGACAAACAAGTCAAAGTTTTTCGCTTCCTTAAAATAAATGGGTACAACATGGATGAATGCATTCATATGAAAGACATCATCAAATAGCTGATTAAGAAATGGATATTAGGCTGGTACGCCTAAGAGGAAGTAAGGAAATCATGAAAGAAATTACCCTCCCTAAAGTCTAGAGCTCCGATCACATTGGCCAAAGCAGTTTCAGTATCAAACAAAGTCTTTCGTACATCGGTTAATGGATTCTCTTCTCTTTTATCACCAAAGTCAACTCATTCCCCTTCTTATCTAACAAAGATGGATACTCGTACATTCATACCTTATGCACATTTATATATGAAGTTTTTTTGACTCAGTAAACTCATAAAGGATCATATCCTTTTCAATAACAAGCATATGAAGACGTTATTGGAGACTTCCTTCTCCCTTCAAAGGATCTCGGGCTCCATAGTATCACCCTTCCTTACACCTCTAAAAACCAACAAGGCATCAGTTAATACGTATTTGGTATGACATTTCCTCCATCTCCCCTTGACATACCATTTCTGCCTTACCCCTAAAATATGCATATTACACTTGAGAGAAGTAAGATCAAAGCTTCATATTATTTCTAAGATCGAGATAAGAAAGGAATGATAGAGACATGATGGTCAGGAAGGGCAATGGGCTCCCTTTGCGATCCAACCTTCTCGATCCTAACTCCCTATCTCACAACATTACAATGGAAAACACCTCTCATAACGATTCGAAAAGGGATACAACCATGTCCGACCAACTGTTTTGAGGTAAGGTCTGATTGTATGTGTGATGCTTTCCACCATGAACGTATGACTGTTGGGATAAATAGGTAGTGCACTATATATCACAACAGTCAAATTATATAAACGTTGTGATATAATCTGAAAGGTTGTGGGTTCGAAACCCAGTGATTGTATGGTTTATAATATTCTGCACTCTCTCTATAACAACGATTGTTATAAATAACCGTGATTAAATACTTTGATTTTACTTTATTTTATTTTATTTTTCTATATATTACAAACCTGTATTTTTTTTTACATGTATATTATACATATATTAGCTAAATATTTACAAAATATCAAATTAAGCAACAAAAATATATTTATAACCATCAAAGACAAAGTCATAGCTAAATATTTACAAAATATCAAATTAAGCAACAAAAATATATTTACAACCAATATTTACAAAATATCAAATTAAGAAACAAAAATATATTTACAACCATCAAAGACAAAGTCATACAGTACCACCCCCTTTTTATCTAACGCATTGAAAATAAACACCTAACATTTATGGACGTCGTCTAAGTCATTGGGAGGAAAGGTGTCATGTTGTTAAACATCTACATAAACAAGTGAAAAAACATTAATATCACATGATTTGAATTATAATAGCAAATTTCTTTAACATTAACATGTTACTGTAAACATTTCATGATATTATATATACCTGATCTCACGAATCAACAATGCCAACAAAGACGATGTTAAACATGTGTTTCATTACATAGTACCCACACTCGTATCCCTCTGCTTGTTTCCTAGTCTACAAATTTAAACATTTTATTAATATATAACCACATATTTCATTAATATATATAAGTGAATATCACAAGTAATTCAATTACCTTGGGCTCACAAAATGCGGGTTTTTTTTTCTAGAGTTATTCATCATATAATGTTTATCCACAACACTGTATATTGAAAATGAATTAAAAATATTATACGCTAAGATATTTACAAATTCAAAGAAAAAAATTAATAAAAGTCTCATAAACATAAAGTTACCTAGTGTTGTACCCAAAAATTTTCCCTCTCAATTTCTCAAAGATTCTCTTACAAAATCTCCATTGATTCAAGACTGCACCAAGATTGATCAAATCAAGATACCTCCCCAAACACTGATGACTCAAAATTAGGGTTTGAGTTTGTATAAGGACAATTGCATATTTTATGCTTCATATGACTTTCATGGATCTTTTTGGACTCCCAAGATTGCTCATGTCAAGTTTCAGGCTTTGGATCACATTTTTGCTCAGTCAATTGATCAGTTGACCTAAAATCAACTATATTGGATAAAAAATCAACTATGGTTAATTCAAAGTTAAAATTCGTAATTTTTGATACATATCAACATGTTGAGCTCATATATGTCAGTTGGTCAAGTTTGGATCACAACTCCTCAAGAAACTTGATCAAATCATAAAAAGGGCAAAATTGTCAAAATTAGGGCTTTGACTGAGAAGGCTTGATTTTTGACTTTCAACCCCAATACATGACTTGTTGGTTTGAGACATGATATCAAGAATCCAAATGCGTCATTTTTTACTTAACAATATGGTTCAAAACACTTCCAAAGATCAATTGATTGATAGTTGAAATTCAGTCAACTAATACACTGAAAAGTCAACCGATACACTGAAAAGTCAAACTTTGACATTTTGATCAAAATCAAGTTTCAAAAATCATATTTCATCAAGACATGTCAAAGTATGAAGATCGTTCATCAAGAAATCAAAAGTCCATATTACTTTGAAAAAAGTCAAAGTTCTAAACACTTAGAAATTTTTATAAGTGTTAAGAACTTTATGATAATTTCATAACTTTGGGCCAGATTTTCACCATGATGCAAGATGGTTCAAGGAAAACTTCCAACATGAAAGTTGTATACCTCAATGAGATCAAAAATATTGCAAGGCAGAACTTCTTCTAGAAATGCTT